GCAACTAAAATGATCAAGGGTTTGGAGAACAAGCCCTATGAAGAGCGGCTTAAAGAGCTGGGCATGTTTAGCCTGCAGAAGAGAAGGTTGAGAGGAGATATGATGCGAGCCATGTATAAAGATGTGAGAGGAAGTCATAGGGAGGAGGGAGCAAGCTTGTTTTCTGCTTCCCTGGAGACTAGGATGCTGAACAATGGCTTCAAACTACAGGAAAGGAGATTCCAGCTGAACATTAGGAAGAACTTCCTCACTGTGAGAGCTGTTCAGCAGTGGAACTCTCTGCCCTGGAGTGTGGTGGAGGTTCCTTCTTTGGAGGCTTTTAAACAGAAGCTGGATGGCCATCTGTTGGGTGTGTTTTGAATGTGACTTTCCTGCTTCTTGGCAGGGGTTTGGATTGGATGGCCCGTGAGATCTCTTCCAAGTCTAAGATTCTATGATTCTAAAGGAAAGGATTCTGTTCTGGTTTGGAAGTGATCTTATTAAGACAATCAAGATTTCCCACATTTAGATTCTTATCTGCCCTTGCATTCTGAATTTGTGTCTTTCCCAAACTCAGAATGCTTGTTTGTTTTTGAAGTCTCCAGCAAGTTCCCTTAAAAGGGAAACGTCTTGAGAGGGCCGTTCTCTTCTCTCTAATCAGACTGAAGGCCCAAGCCTCCTTACATCTTTGATAGCAGCTGAGTTCTCTGTGAGTCAAGAGTCTGGGTTTTAAAGTTATTTTTAATGCAGCTCAGTCTGACTCAGGCAGCATGAGTGGTGAATCTCAGAGGGACAGAAGGTGTCACATTTGGAAGAAGACATTTTTTGGTCATCTCAGAACTCTCTTGAATTTTGCATTAGTGTGATCAAGAACCAAAGCCTACTTTATGCAGGCAGCAGAATGAAAATGCAGATTGATTACATATAATTATGTACAGTACCACTTAAGAATTAACATTTCAGAATTTTATCCCTGGTGTTATGGATTACTTTGGACACAGGGAGCTTTAGACATAAAGGATAATTTTACAATTACCACCTCATCTTGTACAACCTAAAGCAATTCTATCAGTTCCAGGATTGGAGTGAGCATTGACCCCAAATGAGAATTCTTCTCCCCAAATGAAATTTTCATTGAATTTCAAGCATTGTGGATAGTTTTTATTCATGTAAGGAATGAGTTGAGAAACTACACGTTGCTTCTGGTGTGAGAAAATTGACCGTCTACAAGGACGATGCCCAGGGGACGTACGAATATTTTACCATCCTATGGGAGGCTTCTCTCATTTCACTGCATGAGAAGCTGGAGCTGACAGATGGGAGCTCATCCTGCTCCCCAGATTCAAACTGCCAGCCTTTTAATCAGTAGCCCTACCAGCACAAGGGTTTAACCCATTGCGCCACTGGGGGCTCCATTGCAGATCGTGAAACACAGAAAATTATTTCCATCTAGAAATTGGTTTTATTCTAATGGTAATTTCACCCCATTCTTTTTCTTATGCCTCAACTGTATTTCTCAGTTAATGTTTTAAGTTATTACAATGTTAAATCTTGGGGCTTGGGTGAAAATTTCATTGGGGGATTTTTATTTGGTGGGCAATGCTTGCATTTTTCTCTCCCTTATATCCCATCTGAGCTATTCTACCACCACATAATTTTTTGATCTCATTTTGCTCCATTGGTTGACAAAATATTGGAAGCCATGGTTCCAGATGAGACTTATTGTTCAGTTGCCCTGCCTCATTTTCCTTCTATATGAAACCCTGACTGATTCTCTTGGACTTTAAAAAAATCTGAAAAGGACCCAAATACAGAATAGTTGTATAATGCTCTTGGATAGCTATTGCTAGGAGCTGTCATCCTGGAAGGATTCAAAGTGAATGTCCCAGTCAGTCCAAATATTCTGATGTGAAAGAGAGACTTAAAGTGAATATACACTGTAGAATTAATGCAATATGACACCACTTTAACTTCTGTGACTCAGTGTTATGCAGTCATGAGAGTCTGGTGACATATGGGCACCCTTTGGCAAAGAAGGCTAAATACTTTCTAAAGCTACAAATCCCAGGAATCCATAGCATTGAGATATGGCAATTAATATGGTGTCAAACTGCATTAATTCTATAGTGTAGATGCATCCTGAGTTTTAGGATGTATTTGTGAAAATGTTTTATACCACAAATGTGCCCAATGAATTTTGGTCAAGAAATTTCCCACGGTCTTCTTCAGGGCCTGTTAGAAGAAAAAGTGAAGGAACAATTTGTTTGTCTTAAGAAGTATATGCAAGACATGTACTGGAGAAATTAAAAGGTCCCTATTTTTGTCCATATTTCTCTTATTAAATTGTATATAAACTACAATAATTAAGAAATAATATTTTCAATCAGATAACGTTGAAACATGTTTGCAAATAATTTTCTTTATATAATTACTAAGCATTTTGTAAGTCAGTTTTCAGTCCAAACATTTTATTATTATTTATTATTATTTTGTTGTTCATTCATTCAGTCGCTTCTGACTGTTTGTGACCTCATGGACCAGCCCACCCCAGAGCTCCCTGTTGGCTGTCACCACCCCCAGCTCCCTCAAGATCAAGCCAGTCACTTCAAGGATACCATCCTTAGTCGGCCCCTCTTCCTTTCCCCTTCAATTTTCCCCAGCATCATTATCTTCTCCAAGCTTTCCTGTCTTGGAGTCCTCGTGGACAACAAGTTAAACATGAGCCAACAATGTGATGTGGCGGCAAAAAAAGCCAATGGGATTTTGGCCTGCATCAATAGGAGCATAGTGTCTCGATCTAAGGAAGTAATGCTACCCCTCTATTCTGCTCTGGTTAGACCATACCTGGAATATTGTGTCCAATTCTGGGCACCACAATTCAAGAGAGTTATTGACAAGCTGGAATGTGTCCAGAGGAGGGCAACTAAAATGATCAAGGGTCTGGAGAACAAGCCCTATGAGGAGCAGCTTAAGGAGCTGGGCATGTTTAGCCTGAAGAAGAGAAGTCTGTCACTGCCTCCACATTTTCTCCCTCTATTTGTCAGTGATCAATCCGTCTGGTTACCATAATCTTGGCTTTTTTAATGTTTAACTGCAACCCAGCTTTTGCACTTTCTTCTTTCACCTTGATTATTAGGATCCTCAGCAACTCCTTGCTTTCAGCCATCAAATTTTTATGTTTATTTATACATCGCTTTTTCTCACTACAATGAGACATTTGTTCATATGAGCATTTCTAAATGATGGTGAAGAAAGCAAATATAGAGAAAGGGAAGGAGGACATTCTTCCAAAATAGTTTTGGGCAGCACTCTGATTTCCAGTGTGATACCACTAAGCCCTGTGCCAACTCTTTCCCAAGAGAACTGAACAAATGCTTCTTTTATGTCAAAAATCCTAGAATCATTGTTATTATCAACCTACTTTTCTCACAAAATCAGGACTCAATTGAACATTGAAATGGAATCCATGTTTTCACAATATTAATGAACAAACATTCAGATAAACAAGAGTGTGTGGAGCTTTTTAAAGATTAACTTTAAAACTGGAAAACCCCTTTTGGGAGGGGTGGCACATCAAGTGTCAAAATACATTCTGACACTTCTGGGCAGGGTTTGGTATGTCTCTATATGACTTGGCTCATTACTACATTACAACTGAATCTGACTGTCATTTCTATCAGCTGCTTTTGTCAAAACCAGGGCTTCCCCAAGATGTTTTTCTGCCTAGAGCAAAAGACAACATGATATCACCAGCCCAATCCATATACAGAAACCAGCTGGACTGGCAACTGAATGTTACTTTAACCTTGAAGACAAGTCACATTCTCCATTATATGTACAAGAGCAGGCTAGTTTAGGTCTTGGGCTTCCAAAGTCTGTGGGAATCCAAAAGATATATGGAGTGAAGCAAAGGTTATTTATATAACTTATAGATTTTGAATTGAGTGGCTTGTTGTTCTCCAGGATCTGCTGCCTAAGGCAGGCAGCATACTAATGTAAAGGTCCTTGACCTGACATCCATGGAGGGGTTCCAGGGGTTCTGTGATTGGGAAGGAGGTCCTTTTGCTGATCTCATTCCTTTCACTTTGAAAAAAAGTGAGTGAATGTATTTTTCAGGGGAGAGGGTTCATAGTAGGGGTGTGCGAAATGACATAAATCTGTACCCATTTTCTGTTGCGTTTTTGGATGCCACCTGTTCTATTTTTGGGAAACATTCAGGAGCTGTTTTTTTCATATCCATAATTTGGAATACAGAGTTCCATTTTTGTTTCAGGAAGATTGGTCCGTTGGCACCAATGGAGGAATTTTAGAGGCCCATCTCACCATATTTTTATGGCTATCAGAATGAAATGTGCCATACGTGTAGGACAGATTTACAACTGCAAGCCTGCCAAGTTTCAAATCATTTTGCTAATCCACTGATTTTGGGGAAAATTTTAAAGTTTTTACCAATAACATTTTGAAAAACCACAAGAGGGGTTTCTGGGATTTAAAGTCCAAACCAGTGTGCGTCACAAGAGGGGAGGAAAATGGTCAGAACCAAGCCTCTGATTGTCTGAGAAACATGAGAAACACTCAGCCTCATCACTCTCACCATAGAGAGATTGCTGCTTGTGCTTGCGAAACAAACAAATGGTTAGGATACTAATATGAAAAGTAAGTCCGAATCAACTAACCTTTCCCATTTTTTTAGTTCAAAGATTAGATTTTCAGTTTTTTATTCTGGGAAGACTCCGAAGGAGTTTTTCCAGGTCCGTTTCCAGGGGCTCGGCTGCCGGATCTCTGAAATTTCCAAAATCCAAATCAACGGAAGCTCGCATACCCCAGTTCATAGCATTCATCACATCCTCAGTGAGATCCATGATCTCAAAAACATTAAGACCTTCTAGCTCTCATAAAAATGAAAGTAAACAATGAATTTGGTTACTTGGTATGATTAGAAACATTGTTTCGAAGTTTTTAACTTTTGTACTTTCTTCCCAAAAAAGACACCATAAACAATTGTATTTTTGTTGTTTTAGATTCGTAACAAAAGCAAAGCATCCAATGCTGGGTTATGTGAAGGTGATGAGGTGGTATCCATCAATGGCAACCCTTGTGCGGATTTGACCTATTCTGAAGTTATTACCCTGATGGAAGGCCTGGCTGACACTTTGCAGATGCTTATCAAGAGGTAAAGTCAAACTGATGTTTGTCACATATTCTGCTATATTATTGTTATTTTCTCACAATTAACAGTGGGTCCTTGGCATTTGTTGGGGTTTGGTCCCAGCACCCTCTATGAATAAATAAGTCTGTAGCTGCTCAAGTCCTGTTAAATGCAATAGCATATTAAAATGGAGTCCTGTATATAAAATGAAAAAAAATCAGTTTGCTTTTTTTTTTTAAAAAAAAAAAAACATTTTCAAGCCGTGGATGGTGGAATCCCTGGATGATTAGTCCATGGATAGAAAGACTGAACTTTATTTCTGCATTATTGTTACTTTGGAGAAAAGCCTTGCATTTTGTAAGTTTTTATTGAATGCCACCAGAGATTGTCCTTTAAAATACAGCCCATACCGCAGCTCATGACATTAAATGAAAACAAAATGCAATAAGGTTGATTTCCTAAAAACTAAACAGAAGCACAATGCTGAATTGTAAAAAAAATTTGATCAGCTGAAAATAATTATTTAAGGAACTCATTAATTTGAAAACTACTTATGAAAAAGCGACCCAGAAAATGATGTTTGTGTGTTTTGGAGCTGTACATAGTTTTTATGAGCATCATTGGTAAGGTAAAGGTAAAGGCATTAAGTCTAGTTGAGTCCGACTCTGGGGGTGGTACTCATCTCCATTTCTAAGCCGAAGAGCTAGCACTGTCCATAGACACCTCAGAGGTCATGTGACCAGCATGGAGTTCTGTCCCACAGAAGTGATGCCTATTGATCTACTCATATTTGTATGTTTTTGAACTGCTAGGTTGTCAGAAGCTGGGCCTAACACTAGGAGCTCACTCCGCTCCCCGGATTCAAACCGCCAACCTTTCAGTCAGCAAGTTCAGCAGCTCAGCAGTTTAACCTGCTGTGCCACCAGGGACCCATTGGCATCATTGGTACCTCCTCAGATATACTTGATCTGAACTTTTCAAGATGTAACAGACCAAAACTAGTATTTTTCACTGGACTCCAAAATATACTATCAACAGGAACAACTGATAAATAAGTTTGTGTGCTCCTTTCATTTGACTCACTACAATAAATGGGCTGCTATGTTCTATCATGGCATCTGAAACTCTGGTATCAATAGGGCAGTGAATCCATCCCAGGCTTTCTCTGACTTTAATTGAGCTATCCAAGATGCTGACCCTGTTGAAATGGTTCAGTACCTTGGAGAGCTCTGTTGCAGCTTGAATTAAAACCTGGCATGCATTTGCTGTCCCACTGGCATTGGAGCCATCACACACCTCTATGTTCTGCACTAATTGAATTTTTCATAGGTAGCCTCTTGTGGGGCAAATTACAAAAGCTTATTAAAATGCTTTTGTTTAACTCCTGCACTTATCACAATGCCTGTCTTTATGAGGGTATTTTTGAGAGAATGCACACTTTCTTCCTTGAATGAAACTGTATTTGATTAGAACATTGACTTGCAACACTTAATCCACTGAGTCCTATTGAATCATCTATGGAGCCGTGGTGGTGCAATCGTTTAAACCCTTGTGCTAACTGAATTGCTGACCTGAAGACTTAAAGGTCAGCTATTCAAATCTGCGAGATGTGGAGAGCCCCTGTCTGTCAGCCCCAGTTTCCCATATGGTGACATGAGAGAAGCCTCCCACAGGATGGTAACACATATGGGCATCCCCTGGGCAACATCTTTGTAGGCGGCTGATTATCTCACACCAGAAGCAACTTGCAGTATATTCTCAATTCGCTTCTGACACGATTAAAAAAATGCTATTTCTGCATAAACCAGTAGAGGGTTTTAGTAATAAAATAACATTGGATGATGATCCAGGCAGAACTATTTATTTATTTATTTACTTACTTACTTTGCTTATATACCGCTGTATCTCAAGCCCGAAGGCGACTCACAGCGGTTCACAAACAGTAGAAACAGTAGAAACAGCAGTGGTTCCATACAACATATAACAATTGACTTAACACATTATCCATAAATTACCAATAAGCAATTACAATGCACAATTATTACAAAAAACAACCGTACCCAAACTATCAGAGTGATTGTGACAGTGTTCACTTAATGCATAAACAATAAAACCATGGTGGAGGGAAATTAAAAGCTTTAAAGTTTTAACAAAACATCTGTGCAATCAGATCAAAAATTAGTGTGTGTGTGTGTGTGTGTGTATAAATAAAAATTGAGCATTGACTTTGGGTTTTGTAGTCAATATTGCTACTGTAATAGTACTATTTTAAGGAAAAATGGCTGATCCAGCCCAACAAATTTCAAATGATTCTGTGTTGGTTCATTTCGAAGGTGGGGAGAGATTATATCAAACGAGTCTGAGCATATGCACAGGCAGAGAACCTTTCAAGGGGGGATTTCTTTCTCCCTCTCTTTCTCTTCCATCCTGTACACACTCAAACCCAGACACCAAGCTACCAATAAAGGACAACATTTATCTGGCTTGCTCCCAGGCTTCCTTCCTACAAGGAAATGTTTACAGATTCATAGTTTATATCTATGGAGTACCAGAAATGATTGTCCAAATAATCCAACTTGAGAGAAAACAGCTACAGTCCAGGACTTCATAAATTAAGATGTTTGACCTTCTGGAAACTTCAGCTATGCTTCATTAGATGTTATAGATTGGTCCTTGGTACAAATATTGTTTCCAGCAAGTAGTATAGATGTGAGTGATTGTGAGGAATTGAATAATTAATACTTTCCTCCTTTGTCAACATATATTGTTTCTTCTAGGGAGTAAGTATGCCATGAAGCTGCAGTGTTTATTACAGTAGTTCTCGAGGTTTTTAAAAAATATCTAAATATTGTTTTTGTTATCCCAGTGCTCTTTTGCACTACATAGTTATAACATTATGGTTCCATTTTAACTGCCATGTTTGTGTAACCCTTGGAATCCTGGGTTGTGTACTTTGATGAGACACTAGAAGTCTCTAGCATGGAATTACCTTCCTAATCTCAACGTTTTATGATATGAAACCATGGCAGGATTTATTCAGAGAGTGTTTGCCACTGCTTCCCTCTAAAGACGAAAGTACATGACTTCCTCAAGGCCAGAAAAATGGAGTATTGAGGTGCATTTGGAAATTTTGTATAAATTAGAGAAGTGCATCAACTTCTTCAGTGGAGGTACGTGCTCAAAAACAGCATGGACTGACCAGTCTTTGCCACCATCCAACTATAAACTATGAGGTGAAAAAAAATCTGTCCTCATCCCATAGTTTAAATGTTTATTTTAGCTGAATAATCCCTGAACAAAGGTGTAATGTAACCTTTGTTTGGATTGGTTGAAAGGAATCAATAAATGTGGCCCGTAGTTACCCGTTCCATACAGGATGTAATGTGTTAGACGCTCAGGCTACGGGATTTGTACGGGATCAGTGAAAAGTTTTATTAGAGACAGTTGGGGAGCTGCTGATGTGAGTTAGTGACAGTTAGCTAAAGAGAGATTGCCCAAAGGGAAGAGAAAAGGCAATCTCATAGAAACTGCTTTCAGGCAGAGGACTGTGTATAGTTGGCTACAGGAATCAATCATTGTTTTGGTTCTAGTGGCATATAGACAAAGGCTATTGAGAATTCATTTAGCTGGTGATGATTTCTGTGATTATTACCAGACACAACTAAGGTTATTTACCATTATTATTTGTTATTTGCTAAAGTTAATAAGCCATTTGAATATGATGGTTGAAGAGAAACATATTACTCCACTGTGCAAACACTTTCCACTAAGAAATCTGTTCATTTTGTTGTCGAAGGCTTTCATGGCCAGAATCACTGGGTTGCTGTGAGTTTTCCAGGCTGTATGGTCATGTTCCAGAAGCATTCTTTCCTGATGTTTTGCCCACATCTATGGTAGGCATCCTCAGAGGCTGTGAGGTCTCATGGCCATGCAGGCCAGAAAACTCACATCAACGTAGGGCCCTTCCATGCAGCCCTATATCCCAGGATATCAAGGCAGGAAATCCCACATTATCTGAGTATGGACTAGGATAAACCAGTTTAAAGCAGATATTGTGAAATTTTCTGCCTTTATATTTTGAGTTATTGGGCTGTGTGGAAGAGCCCCCAGTCTCTTCATTTTGTTTATCTTGTCTTTAGAGATGGTGATACTCTTATGATCACAACAGAGGAATTGGGCTCTTGGGTTAAAATGAGCCCCATAGGCCTAAGTCTCAAAAGGTTTTGTTTAAGGTCTATATGATTTGTCTATGTTTAGAAATAATGATGGGATAAGCCATCTTGTTCCACCACAAATAGACCAAGAGGGCTCATGGTGACACAGGCGCATCCCCACAAGGCTCTTCCTGGAAAAGATATACAGTTTGATCATGCTGGGGACCATCTGACTATGAAAACATGGGGTTTCATCTTTGTCAAAGTGACTCTTCCACCACCTGTTATACCTTTTCCTTCTACAGATGGAAAGCGTTCAAAGGGGTTTTTTACCCAATTTAAGGCTAGCCTAGATTAACATTTTAAGCCTTTCTCCCTTCAAACACTTGATCCATTTAGATTCTAAACATTAAAAACTTATACCGTTTTCTGTGCTGTATTGTCCTGTGATTTAAACATTCAACCTATAACATTAAACAGAGTATTAAGGGTGTTATTTTTGCCTACTGAGAAAGTCTTCACGTTTTCCTTGGAACACTTTCAAGATCAACATAACATTTACATAAGAGCACTTGTGAAAAACTTCTAAAATGTTCTACCAGAATTGCTAGTACTATCACCAAACCTCTTCTAGAATGTAGTATATTTTGGTGATAAGGTAAGGAATTGTGGGAAAGCCATGCCTAAAAGGGTAATACTTAAGATTTTTATATAGTTAAATTCAGTGCTCTAGCTACAATTGTGCCTTCAACCTTTGCTAGAATATATTACATATCTCTATTGTCTACATGAAAAACAAATTGTTGAAAGGCAAGGATCAAACTCTATTTATATATAATTGGAAGAGAGAGTAAGGTATAGTTTTATGTCTCTTTTAACAGATTTAGTGGGCTGTAACCCTTTCCTGCTTTTAGTATTCAGAGGCATGGCAACTCTGGCCCAGAATTTGGAAAATTTGCTCTTCTAAGCTCTGCTCTAATCTTGAAAGTATTATGACTGCTAGGCACTGATAGTCTTATCCTCCACATATTTGTTGAATCTCTCTTTAAAGCCATCTAAGTTGATAGCTGTCACCACATTTTGTGGCAAGGAATTCCATAGTTGAGCCACTGTGTGAAGAATTAGTTCCTTTTGTCTGTCCTGAATCCTCCAACATTCAACTTCATTGGCTTCACACTGAGTTTTTTTGTTATATAAGACAACAAAAACTTGCTTTGCACCCATTTTCTCTACAACGTTCACAATTCACATAGAGATTCCTAAAGAAGTGGTCAGGGGAAGGAGTGGTTCTGCACCACTAACCCCAACCAAAGTAGAGGTCATACATTAGGTTAAACACTGGACAAGCACTGTAATCAATGTTTAAAGAGTATGACTATCAAACTATACTTACAGCAACATGTTTGTACAATTTGCTTTGTGTGTATTTGTGTGTCTGCAGATCTTCCAGTGAAGTAAGTGAAAGCCTAAGTCTTGAAAAAGAAAATGGAAGACATAGTGAAACAAAAAACGAAGAATATAAAGAAAGTACTACTCTTCAAATCAGAACGGCAGTCCCCAAGGCTCCCCAGGAATTGCTGATTACAAGGGTGATTGAAGCATCGGCCCCAAAAGATATGGAACAAAGTCGTGTGGGTTTTTCTGGGACAAACCAAGAAAGAGAGTTACCTCATTGCCACAAAATCCCCCTGAAAGTCATAGAAGCCCCTGAAGCACACTTAATCAACATGCCTGTGTTCACTGGGTGGACTGGAGAAAGTCCAGGCCCTACAGTTGAGCTGAAGCTGTCCCTCTCACATGATAACCTCAAAGGCAGCAATGCTTCTGCAGTGACGGTCCTGGGGACAGAAGACCATAAGCCTCTGGAAACAGGACCCACCCTGCTGAAAGATGGGACTAGCTGGGTAACTCCAGATCCTGAAATTAAAAAAGACTCTGCTGCCCAGTGGTCAAGCAGGTCATTCCAGATTGCTAGTGGTAACAAGGAGGTCAAGGCCATCTATGGAGCAGAGACAAAGGAGTCTTCTCTCACCAAAGTGGAAGTGATCCTAGACTGCTCCAACCAGGCAAAGGAAGGCTCCGGGTCTCCAGCTGAAAAGGGGTGTGTGGATTCTCAGTTGGAAGGAGGGCAGTTGGAAGCACCTCCTTCTGTCGTCTCCTTTGGAATCTCATCCGAAGGCACCGAGCAGGGAGACGAGGATCAGCACTCCGAAAGGGAACATAGCAGACCTCACAAACACCGGGCAAGGCACGCCAGTAAGTATGTCACGGCTTAATGGGTGGTATTGCTTGAAGGATAAATTCGACATTTGGAACACCGTTACATCCACATGCTGAGAACTAATACATTCTTTACAAGGAGGCTTCTTTTTCCCCACTCGTTCTTTCTCTCTGCTTCTCTCTTAAGAAAACAAAATACTACTCAGTTTCTTTTGTTTTCACAAATTCTGTAATATGGTTATGGACTGAACCCTTTGCACTTGGTAACACTATCGCAGAAGCTTGCTTTGTAATATAATCTGAGCCTGTCTTTCTGTGAGACTAACATTGGCTTCTTACTAAAAATACTTTCTTCTATCTACAGTTTTCCAGGCTTCTTAACAAAGACTTAAAAGGCAATTTGAGAGAGATTGTGTCAGAAGGGAGACATATTGTTGGACGTACCACAGATGACTTTAAGAGAGGCAGAATATCAGCCTTTTCTCTAGAATGGAGGCAGCATCTCTAAAAGTGCACATGATGCTGCTTCTATTAAAAGCTGGGGGGAAATTTAAAAGGGAAGAAAGGAAAGGAAAGCCTAGTAGTGAAGCTTGATGATGCTTGCAGAAAGTCCCTTTGATGGACACCAGCATGTGTATTTTTGGCCAGTTATATGATCCTTTTAGTTTTGCAAGGCTTCCCTAGACTGTAAAGTGAACTTACTATTCCTTCTGCTTTCCAGACCTAGAGGTCAGTGCAAAACCTAAGCAAAGTCTTACTTGGGAGTAATCTGGATGTGAAATAGTAATAAAGCTAAGAAGAGTAACTCTGATTCTTCTTTTCTCAAAGCATCTGCTTATCGATTCATTTCTACCGCTGGTATTTGTTCAATCATTCCTGGCTATTTCAAGAATTCTGTCAAGGGATTTCATTGCAAAATAGCAGAGGTGGAATGATATACCGTAGTACTGAGCTGACTTACGCAGACTGCCAGGATAAGCATGCCAACCCATTGCTAATTCCTCCATAAGCATATTTTTAGAATGATAGCCATTTGTATCAGTGTGTGGAGTAAGCCATCGTTTACACTTAAAGGACCCTCGTGTAGTCACGGCTTTATGTCATATTAAAAGGAGTACAAAGGAATAGCATACATGCTTGGCATTTTGACAATGAAGTCAGCAACAGCAACTGTGAAATTTTGTCTGTTATAGTCTTTACTGAAGAGTGTAGAACTAAAAAAACCCTTATTTTTTCTATTATGGTATATATTATATAATATATCATACTAATATTGTGCTGTGCTAATAATATAATATATTGTATTCACATATAATGATAATAATATTATAATGTAATACAATATAATAAATATGATAATTATATATTTTATATTACATGTAATATTACTAATAATATTACAGTATAATGGTATAGCACAATATAATACTATATAATACTAATATTGTGCTATGCTAATAATATAATATACTGTATGTACATATAGCTTGTAAGCCACTCTGAGTCCCCTTTGGGGTGAGAAGGGTGGGATATAAATGTTGTATATAAATAAGTAAATATCTAATATAAGCATTCTGGGTATAGTTTGAATGGATTTGGACAAATCGGAGTGCCATATTGAAAAATTAAGGGAAAAAAATCAATTAATTTCTAACAAAATATAAATTAAGGCTGATACCCAAAGAACTGCCTCTGGATTAAATGTGTGCATTCATGCTTTTTCAGAAACTCTCTGCAATTTCAAAGCTAGATCACCATGTGGTATGGAAGGCTGCTGTTTATGGAGCGAGGGGATAATCCCAGAAATTGAAAGATCTCTTGAGCGTGTGCAGGTTATTCTTAGTTTTTTTTTCTATCTGCAGCCTGACTGAGTAACCACATAGTTATGTTACAATGGGAAGTGCTCATAATACTTCAGAGGTGTTCAGGACTGGTTCTAACATTATAACGAGTAAAGCAGCTGCTTTATGCACTTGCTTTGAAATGTTATGAAAATATGCATTTTTTAAATTTTATTGATTAGATTAAATTTTCTATTGAATTTCTATTATTGTTATTATTATTATTATTATTTACTTTTTGGGAGGGGAATTTAGGTAATATCAGTGTGTGGAGTAAGCCATCGTTTACACTTAAAGGACGCTCATGTAGTCACAACTTGTAGTCATGTAGTCATCCACCTTGACTGGAGAATGAGGATGGAAAGGGGCTCCATTTGAGGATCTGTTCCAAGACAGAAACTTGTCTAGGATATCCACCTGACTATATAGCTAGTCTATAAAACAACAATGGACTGCATGGGTAGATCAAAACAGTATCTATAGTAGGAATTGCCAAACTTTGGCCCTCCAGATTGTGGGAGTTGAAGTCCAAAACACCTGGAGGGCTGAAGTTTGCCCATGCCTGCTCTACAGTAACACACTGAGAGCTGCCTACCATGCCTATGTTTTCAATTATACATATTTAGGAATTATATATTAATCAATGTACGCATTGACTAGTATATAATTCCTAAATATGTATAATTGAAAACATAAGCATGTAATAATAATAATAATAATAATAATAATAATAATAATAATAATGGAGCACAATACTCCTGACCTCACGATCATGTTAAAAAACAAAGTATGGATTGTCGATGTTGCAATCCCAGATGACAGAAGGATTGAAATGGAAAAGCTGACACGATACAAAGATTTAAAGTTCAAACTGCAAAGTAAAGGTGGTCCCAGTGCTGATCAGCACACTGGGTGCAGTACATAAAGACCTTGGTCTGCACTTAAACACAGAATTGACAAAATTACCATCTACCAGCTGCAAAAGACCACTCTGCTGGGATCTGCATGCATTATTCGCCGATACATCACACAGTCCTAGACACTTGGGAAGGGTCTGATGTGTGAGGCCATACAACAGCCAGCAGAGTGACCTTGTTTTCTGTGCACTAATCTTGTTATGCTTCTAATAATAATAATAACAATAACAACAACAACAACTTTATTTTTTTACTCCACGTACATCTCCCTGAAGTAACTCAGGGTGGCTTACATGGGGACGAGTCCAATCAACATAGTTAAAATACAACACATTAAAATACATAAACAACAGTATAAACACAATAAAACCAACATTATAATAAAATATAAAAGCAAATATCAACGAACAGCCAATGAACCTGCAATAATAATGAGTTTCTGGGCATGGGTGGGTAGACTGGTGCAAATCAATTGTAAGGACAGGGCTGATGGATAAAATGTGTAAGTCAATTAGCAACAGCAAGGATAGAGAGCAATGTGAGATTGAGCACTATAACTTTGGGTACAGAATAATAGTAAAGTGCAAGGGTCCTAACTGGGGCCCAATTATCAGAGGAATTGTCTAGGAACTGTTATTTTCAATGGGTGTGCCATTCTGACTTATTCCCAAATGAGTGCATAGGATTGCAACCATAATTATACATCTCCTGATATTAGAAACATCTTTCAATTATGAAAGGACTGTGTGTTTGCAAATTGCTATAAGACCTGCATTGCAAACATGTAATAGGAATACAGTAGACTGGAGAGAAAGTTATTTGTTTTAGTATAAGTAGAATGAATTTACTAGCAAATGTTTCAAGGTGAACCTTCTGTTATCTGAAGCTTTTTAACAAAAAGGTATCAGTAGTCAGAGTACATTGAAATTTCGCTCTAGATTGCACACTCTTTCAAAATATTGGCTCTCAAAATCTGCACCTAGGAGAGGTTTTCCCCTTAACAGTAGTTTGAGCACACTTGTTTAATAATTATGCTCCATCTTTTAAAAAGAACAAATGAAAACACACCCTTTTAAAAATTCTATGATAAGAGAGTTTAAGTGTTTGAGTTCTTTTTCAAATCATGATTTTTTAATTTCTGTAGCATTTTAGGAAGATTATAACAACAGAGGTCATAGCAAGCTAGGCTGAGTATGAGGCAGCCTTAGGGCCCTTCCACACAGCCCTATATTCTAGAATATCAAGAAAATCCCACATTATCTCAGTGTGGACTCAGATAACCCAGTTTAAAGCAGATATTGTGGGATTTTCTGCCTTGATATTCTGGGATATAGGGCTGTGTGGAAGGCCCTAAGAGAAACTCAGTTGGACACATGCAACAATTTGAACTCAATCAAAAACTATTCCACAGATGGGGGAGAAGTGGGGAGGAAAGCAGAAAAATTGTCCTATTCTGGCAAGATCTGTCTTTAGGAATGGCCAGCCATCCCATGATGTCTTCCCACTTTCCTCCGCTACCTCCTGGTGTATTCTATTAGGAGTCGGGAGCATCCAACTCCTGAAAATGAACTTTTCTCTCCGTCTTTTTGTGTTGGCGAGATGGATTTCAATGCACAGCCACCAGAAGTAGCTGTACATTGTGGGGAAGACCTATGTTGGACTTCATTACGCCAGTGTATGGAGATGGTGAAATAAATTGGGGAAATTTAGGATGGGATAATGTCCTAAGAGGACAGAGCCCCATAGATCTTATGTGACTATGACTCCTTTGGGGTTTTTTTTCCATGTCAGGAGTGACTTGAGAAACTGCAAGTCTCTTCTGATGTGAGAGAATTGGCTGTCTGCAAGGATGTGAGAGAATTGGCCAGCTGCAGGGGACACCCAGGGATGACCAGATGTTTTATCATCCTGTGGGAGGCTTCTCTCATGTCTCCACATGGAAAGATGGAACTGATATATAGGAGCTCACCCCATTCCCTGGATTCAAACCATTGACCTTTCAATCAACAATCCTGCTAGCACAAGGGTTTAACCCATTGTGCCACTGAGGGCTTCTTTGGTGATACCACTGTAAATATTGTCTTTCTTTTCTATATCTATTTGTACAAGTTATTGAGATTTCTCTCATCTTGTACTCATCAGCAAAGCCTCATTTGATTTCTCTAGGAACAGAGTGTGCCAAGATTGGTTAAGATTTAAAAAGGTACTTCAAATGTGATGACTTGATCACCACAAGTGGTGTATTCCATATTCCTTTGCCCTTTTAGGAAAGAAAATGATCATGGCTTAATATAAAATGCATTTGAAACCTTTTCAATTGAAGTTGGCATTCGTACATGTAATGGAAAGCTTCAAGTGGAGAAATAAAGAATGAATTCATGTGTTTTTAGAGTTCATTTTGCCCTAGTAAATATATATTGGTCTATGCCCCCAACCTCATTTGACTAAAAGGCCAATGACATGCCTTATATAATGAATTTCAGTCAGTTCTATGACATCTAGTTATTTCCAGTAGGGTTTTTTTTTTCTCTCCACACTGCCAGTAATGCACTAGGTGCCCCTGATCAGTCTGGCTTCTTTGAATCTGACCTTTTCATTTCAATGAGATCAAATCACACCCTGGTTATAAAAAAGATATAAATGGGAGAGACTAGTAGAACCAGCAGCAGTCCATAGCACAAGTGAGTGAGACTTAATCCAGCTATTTATGTGAATGGATGACCTCCTCTATCCTGAAAGCTCAGCATGGTAAATGTATCTAGTTCGAAAATATCAAATAAATATAATATAAAACTGCAATGATAACACTTCAGTAATTTATGCAAAACTTGGTAAGTTGCTTTTTTTCAAGTTTACTTTCTTCCTGCTCGAAGTAATTCATTGCCATTAGTTATTAGAGTTATTAGAGTCGACAGCAGAGGCGCTCCAAGTGGCCAGCTTCTGGTCAAAGGATATTTAGCATAATACCAAGTTTTAAAAACTTTGTTTGTGTTTTTAAATGCATTTTAACTGTACCCTCAACTCACTTCTGACACAATAAATAAACAAATAAGTTATTAGTGTGTCTAAAAACTGAAAGCAAAACCTCAGGATTTGTAAGAGAATAGCATAAAAATTGAAGATTTCTTTTTAAATGCCTCTAAAATGCATTTTTAAAGTATTTTTAAAAGTAACAATAAAAATGCTATGTATTACACCAAATCAATTCAATTTCTACTTGCCATGTTAATTTTCTAATGGAACTTTATAGAACTTTTATAGAGCACCTTACACCCAACTAAATTACTGAGTTAATGGTAACTTATTATTTTCACACTCTTGCGTTTATGGATCTAGCTTTTCATATGAATGCCAGCCACACTGCTATACTGTAGATCAGTAAATATTTATATCTGGAACATACTTTCTCCTTCGAACATCAAGAGACAAAAAGCTAATATTGTATTTGTTGGAGTTTAGAGCAAGCAAAGTTTATTGATTAGTCCATTGACCGTATCAACATTAAAAACAAAAATAGAGAAAATAGAGGAGGAGTGGATTGAAGAACAGAACTGAAGACTGTATGGAGATCCATGGTGATCTCAACTTGTGTATAATTACTATATTGCCCAAAGAGTTGGAGAAAAGCACCTAGAGAAATGAAATATAAATGTCAGTGTTCCAATTGGTTTTTTCTTAAGTGTTAAAGAAATTCAGGAACAGAAATGTATGTGTTAAGAAAGAGATTGCAATAAATAAATAAATCTCGGTGTAGTATATGTAAACCAACATTCCTACTATATGTAGATTGGTGTGGCACCACTAATTTATCCTGTTGGGTTATACTGGCTTACATTAAAAACACAGAACAAAGCAGATACCTTATATCAAATGCTAGCAAATCTATAGGGGCAAAGGGAAATATTGTCCAAAGAATGCCAGGGGGGAATGTTTGCTATGGAATTTTTGCCATGGTTGTAACGGTGGGAAAATATTAATATTAATGCCCTGCCGATGCATCCTTGCATAAGGGCGGATTCCAACTATAAAAGAAGAAAGATTACTATCGCACTCTTGCAGCCCAAATAGTTGTTGTGCACTTATCATTAAAACTGATTTCATGTTAAATTTGACTCAGTGCAGTGAAATATGCTCTTTAATTCTTTCCTGCAGGGCTCAGACGGAGTGAGAGCCTGTCAGAAAAACAGGTGAAAGAGGCCAAATCTAAATGTAAAAGCATTGCCTTGTTGTTGACGGCTGCTCCCAATCCCAATTCCAAAGGGGTGTTGATGTTCAAGAAGCGTCGCCAAAGGGCCAGGAAATATACTTTGGTGAGCTACGGCACCGGGGAGTTAGAGCGTTACGAGGACGAGGGTGAAGAAGACGAGGAGGAGGAAGGTGACAAAGAGAACACTTTTGAAGTGACCTTATTAGGCACAAGTGAGTCAGAAATTGATGAAGATTTCTTCTCTGATCTTGACAAAGAAGACCGGATTGTGACATTTGACTGGGACACTGGGCTGCTTGAGGTTGAAAAGAAACCAAAAAGTGGGGACGAGATGTCTCAGCTTCTTCCAGACAGCAAGGGCAAAGGGGCACTGATGTTTGCCAAAAGACGTCAAAGGGTGGACCAGGTCACTGCTGAACAAGAGGCTATGAAGATGCAGGGAATGCACAGAAGCTCTGAGGAGCACCAGGAAATCACTTCAATGGAAAACACTCACAAAATGAGTTCCTCTATATACCAGTCCAAACAAGAAGCTTCCAGAGTTCAGCAGAGCCATGTTAGCAAAAGCTACATAGAAGTGAGCCGCAGTCATGGTACAGCAATTCAGCAAAATGGCATTGGGGTTGCTCCTGAGACAAATATGATATATCCATCTTCAGCAACTTCAAACAGAATGGCTAAACCTTTCCCTGGTGTACAGAATAGAGCAGCAGCTCCATTTTCACCCACTAGAAGTATGACGAGCCCCCTCTCAGATCTACCTGCACCGCCTCCTTATACATCAGTCAGCCCACCACCTGAAGCCATGTACCGAACTGTTTTGACTCCAGTTGCCACCAGCACGACTCAGTCAACTCTGTTGTCTCCAGTGGAATCAACTGAACAGATTGCATCCAGAGACGAAAGGATTGCAGTGCCTGCCATAAGAACTGGAATTTTGCAAGAGGCAAAAAGAAGAAACACAGCAAAACCAATGTTTACTTTCAAAGAAGCCCCCAAGATGACTCCCAATCCTGCCCTTTTGTCCCTTGTGCAAAATACAGAAGGCAAAAAAGGTGTTCCTGTGGGCTTTGAATCCGGCCCTGAAGAAGACTACCTCAGTTTGGGAGCAGAGGCGTGCAATTTCATGCAAATCCAAGCAGCCAAACAGAAAATCCCACCTCCGGTGGCTCCAAAACCATCACTTAAGGTTTCTCCTACAGCCACAACACCAGTATCACCAGTTTGGTCCCCTCCAGCTGTGGCTGTTACCCAGCCTTCTGCCTTTCCGGCTCCATATTCGCCTGAAGTGGCTGTTCCAGCACCTGTGAAAACAGTGCAACCTATTTATCCCCCTCCACAGCCTCCTACCACTCTTAATCTAACTAGTCCCCTTAAAGGACCTCAAATAGCAGCATCACACCAAAATTATACACCCAGAGCTACACCCACCACACCTTTAGGAAACAGTGTGCTTGCAGGAGGAGTGGGGCCAGCTTTCGAAATGCCCCCAGCTTTGAGTGGGAAGGGAGCCCAACTCTTTGCCAAAAGGCAATCACGAATGGAGAAGTATGTGGTTGACTCAGAAACTGTGCAGGCCAATATGGCTCGGGCTTCTTCACCAACACCATCTTTACCAGCTTCTTGGAAATACTCATCAAATGTCCGAGCACCACCACCTGTAGCATATAATCCTATCCAGTCTCCATCTTATCCTCTGGCTGCTACCAAACAACAGTCAAAGTCCCCAGGAGCTGCCAAAACAACCAAGAAAAAGCCTAAGAAAGCACTTAGTTCTTTGGAAGTTATGAAGCATCAACCCTACCAACTTAATGCATCCTTATTTACTTTTCAACCTCCTTCTGATAATAAGGAAGGCGTGCCCAAGCAACCTACAAAGTTTGACTCAAAACAAGCTCTACCTTCAAGATCTCTCAATGCCGGTTCTCCTTCTAATGTCAGAGCCTCTTCCGTGTACTCTGTACCAACCTACAGTTCACAACCATTCTCCCTGTCAAATGCTTCTAGTCCCGTAATTGAGTCCTGTGCACCAACAGTTCATTCTACTTTTCCGAAGCAAGAATCACCTGCCTCCTCTATGTTTACTACTCCCAAGCCAAAGTTCTCAGCCAAGAAAGTTGGTGTCACAGCACAGGTGTGGAAACCCTCAACCATTGAAGAGTAAACCATAGATACAACTCAGTGGTTTGCAATGAATTGTTTGCAGTGGTGATCTGACACCCAAAGTGATCCTCAGCTTACTTAATAATTTTAAAACTTTCTCATGAAATCTGGGTCCAAAACTTGGCTTAATTCTGAAATTCTGTGCATACCTACCTGGATGTAAATTCTACTTAAAATAGTAGGGTTCACTTCTGAGTAAGCATGCATAACATTGCACAACAAACAGTTTTGAAAGAAATCAATATGAATAGTAATTTCAGATGACACATTTATATATGCAGTCATCTATAATAAAAGGACACATATACAGTGTCCCAAAATGGACATAATTAATAGGCCTGGGTAACAACAGAAAAATTTGTTTCTAAAATCAATTCGTTTTTTGGGGGTTTTTGCGTTTCGTTATTTAAAATAATTACAAAATTTTCCTTTAAAAAAGTTCGATATTTACGAAATTTCGTAAATGTGAAAAAATTACAAAACAATAACGAATCGATTTCCGAAACAATAACGAATCGATTCGTTAATGGCGGACGCGACCGCGCAATACGCTAAAAAACCTCCAAATGGGACAGGGGGAACTTCTGAAGCTTAATTAAACCAAAAACAACTATAAAAACCCTTAGAAAACCAAAAACAACTATAAAACTTGCCCCAGACATGCGGAAATAATAACGAAACGACCTCAAAACGATAACGAAACGAACACAATAACGAAATACAAACCATTTACGAAACGATTTAAAAATTCGTTTTTTTAAAAAATTGCTCCAGACTGGTTCGTTATCGTTTTGTAATTGAAAAATTAACGAATTTTTTAACGAATTACGAATTAACGAAACGAAACCGCCCAGCCCTAATAATTAAGTATTAAGTAAGCAGGATGTTAGGTGTCAGTGGCTTCAGTACACACAAACACAGTGAACACTGTTCCTGTATTGCAACAGTTAAACATAGCTTTCACAGGGTTTTTCGGGTGGGTGGGTGTGCGGAACATATCATTCTCTGTTGGCCAAAAGGTTCAGGTACAATTAACAGTTACTGATATTAGATTCATTTTTAAACAGTGCCTCCCAGTATTATGTTTCTTGCAGATGTGTATAAAATAGCAATATGAAATATTTGGCACAACTCTGCAATTGATTAATTATGGAGAATCCGGTTGAGAGCCCCATTGATCTATATGTATTGGTCCATATGAAAATAAGTGGCTTACACTTTGGTATATCCACAATTAAAATGTGGGCATATAAAATTATAAACAAGATCTTCTCAATTCTCAATGTTAAGCTGCATGTGAACTACTATGGTGGATCCATGGTAGTTCACCTTATTCAAGTATTATGGATATATGGCTGTCTTTTTCATGTGACTCCACCATTTTATAATCACAGGAAAGCAGTTCAGTCACATTGGCACTGGTATTTAACTTCTGCTTTAGTTCACTTGAGAATCAACTGCATTCTTCGAGTGTAAATTGGTGACATAACAATGATCCAAAACCATGAATTATGGTACCTCTTTGGTATCTCTGTGATTCACTCTCTTTATCCCTTCCCGAGGGTCTGTTGGGGGAGAGGTTTGCTATATAGGAAGAAGAAAGACATTAAGGGGAAGAAGTTTAGACTGGAGAGGTTGTTAGAAGTTTTCCGATTTTTAGGAAATGTTGACCTCCACAGTGCGAGCACACTTTTTTTATATAACAAGCAGATATCACAAAAGAAGGACAATAAAATTAGAAGTATTGAAGAGCCAGGATAAGCCGGGATCTACAACTATGGAAGTGGTGCAATATGTTCATGCGAAAGTATAGTGACTAATATTTGAAGGGACAGAATTTTGCAACCAAAGTAATATGTGCCTTAAAAAGAATAGCTTAATGATATGCTATGATTCCTGGCTTTATCTTTCAGCTGATCACTCGGCACATTTTTTTTATTTTCACTTGGGGCTTTCCAATCTCGCTTCTTCCTTCCACTGGTGTTTCTTTTTTATTCTCTTCTTGCTCTTTCATTCTAATTTTAAATAATGTACTGTGGACCAGGAGGATCAAAACACTGTTACCATGGTTCCCCCCCCCCCCCCCGCAGAATATCTTTAGCTAATTTCTGACCATGTTATTTGCGGCTGTAATATATAAGAATATTATTTGGCATGTCAAGTAGTTCCAGAATATCTGGATATCTGGATAGAATAATTGAACACAGACTACTTTGGCTCTTAAAATATTGCCTATTTACATCTTGAATTGTTTTCAAAAGGCAATGGGTTGTGGATATAAGATTGTAGGGGAAAAACAATAGCACAAAATATGTTAACTAGTTTTCAATTAGGAATATTACTTAGTCTTTCCCATCACTTACTATCTTGTCCACTTAACTAGACATAAATTGAGCCAAGGACGTACTGCATACAAATCATGTGAGCTGCATTTCCCACCCAAAGATTGGACAAACCAAGCTATATACCTAGGCATCAAAACTGAATCCTGTTTAGCGATCTCCAGACATTCTCATGAAGCAACTGGAGCCCCAAATCCATAGAGCCTCCTCGTTCTTTGCTGTACATTGCTTAGTGAAGTAGTGGACTTGGCCAAGACATCCTTAATCATTAAAAGAGTAGCGATAATGAGGAATAGAGGCCTATTGTCAACTTAACCTTAACTCCTTGAGTCTACTTTGAAATCTGATGTGAGCTATGTACCTCGCACAGTCCAATTCATGCAAACAACCACTGCTTACACTTCAAAAGCCAGAGAAAAGTATGAAAAAGATGTGCTGCAGGGTTGACTTGCTACTACAATGATGTTCAAATGGCCTTTCAATTTCAAAAAGTTCCTGATTTGTTACTTCTTAACTGTTCAACACTGTGAAGAATACCTCCAAATTTGGGCAACACCCAGTAGTCGAAACTATTTCTATATAATGTGCCTTCACTGTGAACTTGGAGGAGGATCTACACATACATGTAGCTTCCTGAAAACAATTTTCACAGACATAGCATGATGTTATGTTTACACAGACATCTGGCTAGAAGCCTTATCTGTGAACAGACAAAAACACCAATGGAAGCTCCATTTGGTTGTGGAAACATAAGCAATGGAGAATAATTCTCCCTGCCACTGTATTGATGTCATTTTTGGTGTGACATTGAAGGAATTAAAAGATGTGAGAAGGTAGGCCGCCATAAGGAAAGGAAGATAAATCTGCTGCACAAAGGTATACACTTTCTGTTGCATGTTTGATTGTACATTTTAAACACATGCATTCCTTGATATGCAGGCCTTATCTAAAGCTCTTGGAAGCACCTGGAAGTACTTTTCTGGACAAGTAGTAATATATTTGCTTAACTAGTGGCTTTTGCCTGTAGTTCACAATGCTAGCTTGTTTTGAAAAGGATATTTTAGTTGAATTATTCTGTAGTAGAAGTCAAACTTGACCTTATACATTTTAAAAATCCAGCCCATTCTACACAGAGGATTATTTTGCGATTGAAATTATATGGTACCAATATTTTAATCCTCTTGCGATCTTTTTTGTTCATTTCCACTTGAAATCTACTGTATTTTTCCTCTGACATTAAAACTTTCTCTTTCTTCTTTACTTGATTTCTTGCTTATTCTTTGCCTTCGCGTATTTGATCTATTATATCAATACACCTTCCTCCCTCCCTTCCTTCCTTCCTTCCTTCCTCTAAATTTTCCCAGAATGCTAAATGAAACCATTCAGATTCAACTGGAATTGATTCACTCTTTCAATCTACTTCTTTTATATGAGTACTCAAATCTGAATGGGTCTGTCATATAACATTTATGGGATTACATCCCATAAATCTGTTTATGTGACTTGAGGCCATAAAACCAGGATGCAACAGCTGATCACTTCAGATTTGATATATATGTAGTTCTTTATTTGCTACCAAAACTAGGACAAAAAGAGGACAAAGAAAGAAACTTCACTAATGCCTCTTGTCCTCTGTAATCACAAGTATTCCAGCGTTTGACCATTTATATATTATGGCACTTAAGAGGGAAAGATTGTGGCGATGCATATAATTATCTTCTCAGCTTTCCTTCACTTTCCTGTTCCTAAATGCTGAGCACAAAAAACCTTTGAGATAACATCTCAGTGCTGATGATCTATCACTGTGAGAACATTTCAGATATCATGGCATCTTCCTTTCACAGTTTGGTCTCCTTAGAGTGTCTAGTATTGGTCTCACTTGTTCCTTTGCTAACTTGCTCTAATTTTGAAGTGTGCTTGGGATCCCTAAAACACTCCTCTGGTCACTTAAATGTAGGTCTATTACCCTAGCCTCCTTTATACTCCAATATTTAGTGAGGTGACATGAGCCGCATCTGTTCATATTATATTTGGCTGATTAATGATTCAGAACCTGAACTTGACTCAAGGGAGAATAAGTTTTAATTTGTGTGTGTGTGTGTGTGTGTATATATATATATATACATATACACAGACGCACACACACATATATAGATACAATTACAGTTGGTATTTATCCAGTTGAAGTCCACACAATAAATATCTGTTGACTTCAGTTCGTTGAAAAACGACATTTGCTTTGATACAAATACATCAGGTGTTCAAATCCATAAAAGCAGTATCTTCTTAGATGAGAACATTAGGTGCATAGTTGTTGGCACTATAAAAACAATGTCCTTCTCAAAATAAATACCCTAGGCTGTACCCACACTGCAGGGTTATAGCAGTTTGGGACCACATTAACTACCCTGGTTGAATGTTACAGAAAGCTAAGGTTTGTTGCAGTTTTGATATTTACCCTGCTCTGTCAGAGTGCTCTAGTCTCCAAGACTGCTTTTTAAGAAGTGTCACACACTAGTAGTTCAATGTTTACTTTTAAATTATGTTTTCTGAGAAGTGTGCTGGGGCACCTATATATTGCAATGACACAAGGAAACCTTGTCCTCTTCCTGAGTTGAGAGGAGAGTTT